AGCAGCGAAGCTGAAAGGACGTTATAAATGTGTCGTTGGGTAGTGGCTGGTCTGAGTTCGTTAAAGGGACATGATATGGGAATCACCTGATTCGTCCTTCTCGTCATTCTAAACCCGCAAGCCTATTATTTATTTATTTTCTGCTATTCCAACACGTGTCATTCTCTCCATTTACTCTTCCCCTGTTTTCTCATAATTAAAATTCATCATTTACGTTTCATTTTAGGTAATCTCAACCTCACAAGGAGTAACTTTCTCAATATACGCATTTTTTAATGCCAAATGCAATTTTTTTGGGTCGATTCCTCATCATCTCTCGCATACGTGCAAAGAAATGTTCACTTGTTAAATTAGAGTCTGAGTATGAGATTGTGAAGTTTTAGGAAAAGAGTAGAGAAGGCTTGGAACTGTACTTGTTTTAAGACACTCCTACTTAATAATAATAATAATTAACAATGAATGGATTAGAATTGATTGAAAGGAATATAAAAGGAAGTACAACTTTTGATGCAAGGCATCCCAACGTGCTCTCAAGTTTCTTTTCTCTTCTTCTTGTTTTTGTTTTTTTGACAGCACGTGCTCTCAAGTTTTAACCCACCTGTTTGATGCCAAATTACCACTTTTAAATGTTCACATTTAGAGTTGGAAAATAAGTTGAATTCACAAGCTAACTTGTCTAACTTGCAAATTTTGATGATTATGCTAAAAAAATTGGCTTGTTTTTTTTTTAAATGGGATGAGTTAACCTAACCTGCAAAACTAGTGCGTTAAAACAAGCTAGTATATTTTTAAAAAATAATTTTTTTTTTTTCATCATACTATATCTTTTTATAAATATATAATAATGATAATATTTTTTAATATATAATTTATTATTCTCAAATATATTCTTTACATTTAAAATATAGTGTAAATCTTTTTACAATTTGCAAATAAACTTTTATTATAGTTTGTAAAGATGATTTATTAATTTTTATAGAAATATTTTGAATATATATTATTTCTTAATCTCATAAGATCTATTGATTGAAATCATAAATATAAATTCATTGAGAAAAATAATATGGGTTTATATTTAAATTTTTTTCTCAGTGAAAGATAGCATATCTAGGCGAGAAGGTGAATGATAGTAAAAATCTAGCAAAATAAATTTTTTTGATTGAATTTTATGTTAATTTTATTTATTTATAAGTTTTTTAATTGCTAATTTGTTTTAAAATGTGAAATAAATATATATTTATATTATATAAATTTTAAATTATTAAAAAAAATAGATAATTTTTGGCAGGCTAACTCGCTAGAAAATGGATTTGGTTAGGTTTTCCAACCCATTTTATATGACGGGTTGGCCTAACTCAACCCACAACCTATTTGCCCACTGCTACCCACATCTACCATAGCCATACTAATTTACATTAGCTAAGGCACGCACTTATTTCATTGCGCTTAATATATATATTTAAAAATAAAAAAATAAAAGATGCACATATAATTATGCCAACATGGCACTTTACTCTAGTTGTATAAAAATTACAATTATAAATTTGTTGTGTATTTTAGTAAGGTAAAATGACAAAAAATTCATTTAAATTAGGTAAATGATAGATTTGTCTTACAAATGATATAATTACCCTGGAGTCCCTTGGGATCCTTTTGTCATTAGGGAATCAAATGAAGTGACCAAATTGCCCTCAAATTAAACAAAAATTGCAATCTTCGTTGAAGAAACTTGCTAATTTTTCTAGTCCATCTGGATTCTCCATTCACACCTTAATTCATGGTATGCTTCTGATTCGTCTCCCTCTCCTTCTCTTCCTTCTCCTTCGTGTGTTGTTTTTTTTTAGTTTCTGTATATGGGTTGTTTGTTTTATTTGGCTGCTGTGTGTGGATATATATAAGCAAACATTCCTCCTTTGTTGTGTCTGCTATACGTGAGTAAATTTCCTCTCCTTCTTCAAATTTTCTCCTCTCACATGTGATAGTTGAAGTTGATGTGGGTTATTGTGTGTAAATGATTGAGATCTTCATTTTCTCTTCATGCTTAAAGCTGAAAAATGTGGTACTGATGCTTACTCAGAGGGTACATTACAATTTTTTGTTGTATAGTTGTGAATTTAAGCACAAAACTTGCTAATAATAGAACTAAAATTTTGAATGGAGACTTGCAAATTATCAACTCTAATGCTGTTTGGACTTGCACACTAGAACTTGTGAATGGTTAATAAATTGTTGCAAATTTAGGGACAAAAGTTGTTAACCTAGGAATCAAAGTTGTGGATAGAGACTTGTGAATTTTTAAGTCTGATACTTGTCTAAACTTACACATCAGGACTTGCGAATAGCTAATAAATTATTGTGAATTTAGGGATAAAAATTGTCAACCTAAGAACTAAAGTTGTAAATGGAGACTTGCAAATTTTCAACTCTGATGCTTGGCTGGACTTGCACATTAGGACTTGCGAATGACTAATAAATTGTTGTTAGTTTAGGGATAAATTTGTTAATATTGGAACCAAAGTTATGAATAGAGACTTGTGAATTTTCAATTCTAATGCATGTCTGGGCAAAAGTGTCTTTTCTTTTAATTATCTAACAACAAAAAAATCCCAAGGAATTTTAAGAAAATTATTCTATTTTATGAGATTAATTTATCATTTACATAATTTAAATAGATTTCACTGTTATTTTTTCTTTTAGTAATTTGACATGACCATTTCCAGTGGTGAGAAGATGGACGTGGCAGGTGTTCTTTGGCCAAAATTGAATGTTCAAGGGACCTAATTTTAATTAACTTTTAAAACACTATGGAGGTTTTTTTTGGTTTAAAAAAACATTAGAAAAGTTATGTGCAAGTAATTTAAAATTTAAAGAAACACACCCACGCATTAAAAAAAAAAATCATTAAAGGTGATCACATGAATGCTATCTATTTTGATAACTTTACAATAAGCATCTAACATTCCATTGGCCCTCATCAAATGCATAACTGCCTGTGAGAAATATATATTTTTCTTTGAGAAAAGCCCATGCGAAATATAAAAGCAGTACTACTAAATAGTCAAAAGAATTAAAAAAAGTTGAAAAGTGTCACAACTAATTATTCCAACCTTACTTCATCCAAAATATAAGGTGTTAGATAGTTTTTTAAATTATTTTTCTAAACAATCCTCCACTTTATTTATTATTGTTTTTGAAAAAAATAATACATTGATATTTCAATTGTAATATTAATAATGCTATAATTAAAAAGATGTAAATTTTTTTATGAAATTATAATTTCACCTAACTTTTTTCTTAAAAAAATATAAAATAGTTATCAACGTCCTATATTATAATCCAAAAAAATAATAATAAATAATGCAAAAAATCCCACCCCTTAATGTAAGAGTTGCGAGAATCAAGCCCCCTGTAGTTAAAGAGGAAAAAGTGTTTGTGTGGGTTTATTGTGTGCTTGGTGTGGGAACCTTTTTCTTGTAAGGAAATGTTAGATATGTTAAATATAATTTCTTTTCTTTTTTCTTTTTTCTTTTTTTTAAAAAAACTCCATGGGGAAGGGACACTAACTTAAAACAAAAACAAAAAAAGAAAAGCACGTGATGCAAAAGGTGGGGAAAAATCAAGGGACAATAAGAGAAGAACAGGGGCCAAACCTTCTTGGTGTGGCCTACATAATGCAATGACCTACCAATCTGATAGGCTCATTTTGGTGTCACCTAACTTGGCAATTTTTATGTAAACATGCCTTGTAGGTTGGTGCTTTCCTATATATATTACGACACTATCTCTTCGATGCAAATATTTACTGCTTATTTGCTTTACATGTCAAGTATAGCTTTGTTTTATCCCACCCAGTCTCAGTTTGGCTTTCTGCTGTATGTTTTGATTTTATCTTTCTTCAGTATGAAAATGAACGTGTTTGTCTCGTTGTTGATATCTGACAATTGATTTGTGACGCTAGGACTCGAATCCTCCAAAAAACTTTAGCTTTACAAAAAAAAAAGCCGCGCATGGGCTTTACAAGCCCAAGAGGCATCTGTATGGACATTTCGGCCCATGAACTAGTTTGGGGCAGTTGAATTGAGCCTAGCCCACGAAACAGTAACGGGACGATTGATCGCAATGGTGGGCTGTCCGATTAAATTTGGTAGGTCACGTTTAAACTTAATTTAACAAGAAGAAGGTATTGAAACTTTTCATTGAAAGATAAGTTGCAAGTGTTATTTTAAGTAATTGAAAATATGGAATCAACAAAAATACCTTTACAAATAATGCAAAATTTTTTGAAATGCTCTTAGTTGTGTTTTGTAGGATATAACTACAAGTGCTAATTTGATAATCATAAATGTTTACTATCCACGGTATACTTTTTTTGGAAAGTTTATTTTTAAGTCGTTATTGAAATTACTGTGACATTATTAAGAATTACTCCCTCTGATCTTATTTATAAGTTACTCCTAATATATTTCACCACAATTAAAAAAATCTTAAATCGCATTAATTTTGTCTTAAAATTTAATAAGTTTTCACCTTTACTCTTAATAAATATTCTTAAATTTCATTACTAATATTTTTATTCAAAGTATAAAATAAGGACAAAAATATAAAGAGGAGCATTGAAAATTAACAAGTGTCTTATCAATTTTTTTTTTCTTTCTACTTTATAGATATGATTAGAGGAGTATTCAATTTTTTAGCATGTCTTTTCCATTTGTTATGCGGAAGGATATCTTTGACTGAGGAGAGAGAATACTTTTTTTTTTTTTTGATAAAATGACAGCATTATTAATCTAATGACCCAATACAACATTTGGTCCTAGAAACTGAAGAGTAGTTCAATGAGTTCATCACCATGTCATCGTCAACATGGGCTTTCAAGCCCATGAACTGGTTCGTAACAGCAATCGAGCCCAGCCTCCAGAAACGGTTAACGGTTACTGTTAGTTATATACGACGACGTACCATCCTTCCTATGTGCCGCCCCCCGCCCCACGGATTGGTGGACACCCCACAAACCTTCCTTTCCCAGATTTCCAGCTAAGCCGCGTTTTGGTATTCAAAATCAAGTTGTTCTCTTTTTGCATGTAAAAATTGAACCTTTATTCCCTTATATTCAGGTCCGATACAATATTTCAGATTCAAACTCAAAAAAAAAAAAAAATTCGGAGAAAGAACGCGAAAGAAGCAATGGTGATACTGCTGGTGGCAACAACGACCGACCCAGCTTCGATCAACCCGGCCAATGCCTTGTTGGCGAAGCCTGGATGGCAACCCGGACCTCATTTCCAGGTTTGAAGGAGTCGCCTTTTTCGAATCCATCATCCCAAATGTTAAATTTTTCATTTTTACCACTCTGCTGATTTTCATTTTCTTGTGTCGTGTCAATTTAGGATGATATGAAGACCTTCGTGAATCAAGGTGCTAGAGTGTTGCTGCATGGCCAGGGTATAGTGGAAGAGGATGATCTCGACAAGAGGTGGGAAGACAAGACTGGTGAGGTCGTCGATGAGGTCATCTTCTTCAGCAAGCACACCGCAGTTTCTAATAAACCTGCCCTAACCGTTCACCCAATTGGTACTTTCTTGCATGACTTTTCTGGTTTTCTTGTGAAGTGTAAAGTTCTGTATATAACATTTGTTGGGTTTGGGGAATGGCGTTGTGACTTGTGTGTGTGCAGGAGTGCCTCATTTGCGTGAAGGTGATGTTCCACCACAAGGTGGGAAACCTGGATGGGCAGCAATACCCAGTCCTCGGATCGGGCCTTGGATTCGGCAGTTGAAAAAACTTGCTCAAGATCATAATCTGGTCCCCGAATTCGAGGTATCCTTTTACTTTGTTGGAATTTCGGTTACCTTTTCTAATTTTGCTATTGTTTCTTGTCTAATGATAAATGTTTTCCATAGTTTGTCATCCCACTGTGGTTGTAGTTTGGAAGTGGGCAATCTATGGCTTTGTAATGATTGCATCATTAACCTTTTTGCCTGTGGTCTGATATCTATTTCTTTAGTTTTGCAAAAGATTCTTCAACATCATTCTATTTCCTTCCTTTAGATTACTTTGGAGGCTACTCATCATGGGCCATTGACAAGCAAGCCAACCATGTTTCTAGAGATTGGTGAGTTTTTTTTTTCCCTTCTGCCTTCCAGATTATTTTGGTTGACCGCTTTGATATTTTCTATACTATAATAAGCATTTTGCTCTAGTTGCTCAAACTGAGTACAAAAAACTGCTAGATTTCTGCATCTACCATTATTTGGCTTTGAGGTGTCCTAATTTTATTTTGGTGTTTTCTCTCCTTTTTCGAAATCATGTTTTTTGTAAAGAAGGTGCCATCTTTTTCAGTTTTCCATGTGTAACAAAATGGAGCAATGAAAAATAAGCTTGGCAAGCAGTATAACTTACTGTTACTATTGTCCTTTAATGTGAACATCTCCTATAATGTGAATTTACTTTACTTTTTCCACTATTGTTGCTCATCGTTTTAACCTTGAATGTATTTCTGCATCCCTTTTATGGTGGTTTCATGTTGATAGTATTTTTACACCTACTCACCTCTCAAATCGACCTTTCACATATTTTTTCATGGTTATTCTGAAGTCCGGCATATGGAGTTACATTATTTCTGACCCAACATTATTACTTCTGTCCAATCCTTTTTAGGCCCCAACTAGAGAATTTTATCTCCTAATTATGTCGTCTTTCATCATCATTTTATGTCCAAATCCTCTTTCTCCATGCCTTTCCTTTCAACTATTATCTGTCATCCTTGGTCTTTCATCCTTACTAAATATGATTTCCTTTAGACGTTTTCTCTTTGCCTATAAACTCCATATTTACCTGTGGTTCTTTAGGAGTTTGTGGCTGCTAAGTCCTAGGATACATTCTAAATTTGCTGAAGGAGCAATTAGCTAAATGCATTCTTAATGTTTGTTGAAGGATGAGTTTTCTGTTTCTGGTGCAGGAAGTACTGAAGACTATTGGAAGAGGCAGGATGCTGCTGGAGTTATGGCTCAGGTCCTTTCAACTATAGCCTGCATCAGTATCTATAATGTTCTTGCATGGATAACTTTTTTTTTTCCCTTCTAAAACTTCATCATGACATAGATTACAATTTTAAATTTAATTGCAAATAAAGAATATGATCATTAGAAAGGCAGCTCCAAAGTGGTAATTCATTTTGTTTGTTGAATTGATATTGTTTGGCTTCCTGCAGTTGGTCTGGGAAGGAATCGGACTTGGAGGAGGGGCAGATATAGGAAACTGGAACAGGTAGAACCATTGAACTAAAAAATTTTGGTTGCTTGGTACCAATTCTTGATTTCTTATGTGAGGTTTGAATGATTCATTTTCTTGAATATGAACTTAGTGGTTGTTTTTGCTGCAACTTTTTTGTTTGGATCTGGTACCCCTGGCTAAATTATGAGGTCTTCTCATCTTGGAAACCTTAATGGGATAGAATAACATCAGGACCGTGTTCTTCTCATTTTCACTTTTTGGTTAACTTTAGTATTTTATTGTGCCATCCTGTTAATCGGTTCTACATCAATGTATCCTTAATTTTGGAATTTTGGTTATAATAGCTTTCTTCTGTTCGGGTAATTGAAGTTTCTCTCTAACTTAAACCTGATTCCCATCCCCCTGTAGGGAGAATGTTGAGAAGAAAGTCCTTCTCGGGATAGGTGGTGGACATTATGCACCTCGGCATATGGATGTAGTCATGTAAGTAGTCATTGACTATGAGCTAATTCATGCTTTCTTTATTTTAAAAAAAATTGAATTTCCTGATTATGAATACATATAAAAAGTGAGAGATTAAATTCAAATTAATGAAAAACTTAGAAACCAGCTTCTGCAAACCTGTTTCTGGTCATGGGTATATGCTTCTTTAAATGGGATATGAACATGCTCTATTCTTGCAATGCTAGGAAAGGCGATGTTTGGGTGGGTCACCTACTTTCTGGATATTCCTTGCCAATGGATGATCCAAACCAGTCAAAAGGAGGAACAGATGAGAAAGAGATTGGTGGGACTTGGAGAGCTTCTATAACTGCTGCTTATGAGGCTACTAGAGCTGCTTTTCCTGGTGGCGAAATTATTGCCCATCTTGACCACAAGTAAGCTTTCTGAGCTTTAATCCTTCATCTGGTGTGTGTTGGGCCGTTTTGTGTTGTACTCCCTCTATCCCTTTTAGTAACACATCTTTGGAGGTGATTTGAAATCTCAAAATATAAGATGTTTTGATAAAAGTAAGGTTTCATTAATGATAATTATTTCAATATTAACCCTCATTATTTCACTCCTTAAATAAATTTCTTTCCTTCTCTCTCTTACTAATGAAGGATATTTTTGGATGTTTATAGAAAAATTAAGATTATAAACTATATTTAATGAACTTCATTGATATGTATAATTTTGTCAAAAATTGTCTTATAAATTGGGACTAAGGGAGTATTTACTATTTTTCCTTGCTGGCTCTATTTTTTCCCGCTGCTCTCTCTTTAAGTTCTTGGTGAAATTTCTGAGTGGATTAGTCCAAATTGAGAATGTTTTTAAGTGTGATGTGTGGAATGATTCTTAACCTATTGTAGCAGTTATTGGTTTATAACACTCTAGTCACTAAAGTAGCTATTTTGTTATCCTAAACTATGACGTGGCAGGAGTTTCAAGAGCTGGCAGAAGAACGCCATAACAGGATTCCTTGCCCAGAAGAATATTAAAATTGGCAAACCAAATGACTTCTATTGAGTTTGAAGGATGAAATGCTTAAGAAACAAGAAGTTTCTGCACAGCGCAGGTAAAGGCAGGCTGAAGATTGTTGCATGCCCACCTGATTAGCAATCATTTAAGATGATTTTATAGTGATTAATGAAGAAGATGAAGTTTATCCAGAAATTCAGGGGTTGTTAAAGCGAGCCATTTTTGTCATCTTCGTCAGTTTATATTTAATAGGAGAAGTGAAGAATGAGTATATTCTTCTTAAATATAGCTGCAACATGAAGCCCTCATTGGGAATGAAAAATCTGTTGTACTTGATTTTACAATATAAACTTCTTATGATCACACATATTTTTAGGGATGATATACTTACACATGTTTATACATTTTAAGGAGTCTATTTTTTTTTTTTTAACAAAACACTTGTTGATTTTATATCATGAATCAGTGGAATGAAGGTTTATAAGATTAGGCTATTGGATAGGAGAGTTTTTTGAACTTATAAAGCTCTTTTTTTTTTTGTGAGACTTCTTAATATGAAACTCACGACGACGCATCCCTCGTTTGAGAGCCAATGTCTCTGGTGATTCTATTCTATGGCATTTCACTTGGACTTTTATTGGTTAGAATCTTCCATTCATAATTCTTTCTGTGATATTGCTCTTTCAATGAAAGATTTAATATTATGAACATAAGTTTAAAGACAGAATTTATCTTAAAATACTAGCATATTGTGAGGGAGAATTTCTTGTACTTATAAACCTTACTTTTTATGTGAGATTTCTAAATGTGATAGTCATTATATACTCACATGTTTTTACAATTTTTAGGAGTCTAGTAATTTTTTCAAAAACTCTTATTAATTTCTTATGACGGAGCAATGAAATGAAGGTTATATTACATATGGCAAATAAGGCCATTGGTTCTGGAAATTACAGGTTATCCTTATATTGCCACGAAACAGTATAAGAATGAGCTATAAATATAATGTCGGCCAGTGTAGATGTGGCCTTGATCTATCTACTGCATGTTGTCCAGAAGGAAAATGCCGGAGCGTGAGATATATTTTGTTTTGTTTTTTTCCTCAGTTTTAAGGCCAATACCAAACACATCAAATAGGACAAGTCACTGAGACAAGTCACAGAGCCAGTGGACATGGTGCCCTGAGCTCAAGGGTCAGTGTCCCTATTGCAAAAGTAACTCTCTACAATACCCCCATAAACAGACCCATGAAAAGAAAGAACACAACATGGCTTCTCAATGGCTGGCTTGCGTTTGACCACAAAGTGTGTTCTTGGCTGACAACTTCCCAATAGCTTCGTGTCCTCTTGTACTTGTCTCTGTCCTTTTCTTGCACTACGTGTGTGTTTTGACCAACACAACTTACCGGGAAAGACACAAGAAACACTAATCCAATATCCTGTATATGTGTCTATAGTATCAGTATGCATATATACCTACATATACATACACTGGCGAAGTCAAAATACTGGCTCAGGATGAGCAAAAATATTTAAATATTAATTTTTTAAAAAATAATTTAATAATTTTTTTCTGCTATATTTTTGTGTTTTAGAATCTTTCAACAATTAATTTATTTTCATTTAAGACTTAACGGGTTTAGAGTTTAAAATATCAAAATAAAAAGTGTAAAATATGAAAAGAAAAGGGTGAAAAATATAGAAACTTGTACCCTGACTTGTAATTTCCGCCAAGTGAAGGATGCAAAATATGGAGAAAAAAGAAAGATGGAAAATATAAAAACTTGTATGCTAACATGTAATTTCCTCCGAGCCTCACACACATGTTGCTCCTGGATGCACACATTGAAAAAACATATACAGGCATGCATACATTGTATTAAGAAAAAGACATACATGCATAAATAGAAAATACTTTAGAGAAATAAAAAATTGTAATTATAAACGCGAAGATCGATAGTTAGTCTTGGAGAAGGCTTTTTTTTTTTAAAAAAAATTTTTATCAGTACAAAAAGTAATTATCAAATTTTTTATAAAACAACTGTAAAAATGTAACTCAAATTACGAGAAAATTCTTGAGGTGCTCTCTCTCCATTCCATTTTATAATAAATATTTAACAACTTTTACGCGGGTTAGTAATAAATGATAATGATAATAACATATCATAACATCTAGTTTTACACGTATGCCATGTTTTTCTCATTTTCTTGCACTACGTGTGCGTTTGGACTAACACAAAACTTTCAAGGAAAGACACAAGAAACACAATATTGCACATATATGTGCGTGTGCATATCTACAGACACACGCATGGACAAACATATAAAGGCATGCATACATTGTATTAAAAAAGACATACAAACATAAATAATGTTTAGAGAATTAAAAATTGTATTTATAAATGCGAAGATCGAAAGTTAGTCTTGGAGTATGATTTTTTAAAACATTTTTTTATCAGTGCAAAAAGAAATTATCAATTTTTTATAAGGCAACTGTAAAAAAAATGTAATTCAAAGTACAAAAAAAGGAAAAAAAAAAAATCTTGCAGTGTTCTCCCTCCATTCCATGTTTTAAAAAACCTTCAACAACTTTGTCACGGGTTAATAGTTAATTAATAACATATCATAAAATCTAGTTTTACACGTATAATGAAAGAATTAAAACTTAAATCACATGTGACCTAGAAGCATTATGTTCACTCTAGCATTTAAAAGTTCATAATTCAATCCGACGAGCTTTTAAATTGGTTTTAGTTTCATCTTAATATTATGAAAAATTTTATGTAATTGATGGGAGGAAAAATATTTTTTGAAAAAAAATAATATTTTCTTTTTAAATATATTTTACATTTTTTTATAAAAATAATTTTCCTATACACTAGTTGGATAAACAAGCACTTAGAGCCGGTAATTTGGGCCAAGTTCGACGGGCCAGCCCAAACCCGCCCGAAAAATTTATACCCGAACCCAAAAAATATTTTTTTTATTATTCGGGCCAAGCTCGATCGGGTTCGAGCTTGGCCCGAATACCCGAATAGAAAAAAAATAATTTTTTTAAAAAATATATAATATAATAAATATTAATTATTTTTCAAGTTTTATATTGTTTTATTTTAAAATATCATATATTTGAGTGTATTATCATAGTTATTTAAAAAAATAAAAACATTTATATTTTTCCATTTTTATTATTTTCAATCAAATAAAATATCTCAAAATAATAATTAAAATATATTTTAATATTAATTTTTATATTTTAAGACTCAATTTTTTTTGCATATACACCATTTTCTTGTCCAAAAAATTATATAATATATTTTTTATAAAATAAGATAATTAATTTTAAATTAAAAATAATTTTAAAAATAAAATTTAAACATGTACTAATTTCCGGCTCTACTACTAAATAAACATAATAAATAAAATAATATTTTTAGATAATTATTTGATTATCATCCACATCAGACTTAGTTAAAAATTAAGAATGAACTAAAATAAATACCTTTTATATATAGGACTTAAATAATATAAAAGGTTTAAAGAAAAAAATTCAAAAAATAGTATTTTACCCATAATTAAATAATTTTATTTTATATAATATAATAATGACTATTTTTTTCATATTCTTAAAAATAAAAAGTACAGTTTATCCAATAGTTATTAAAAATTTTGAACTAATCAGGACAATAAATTTAAATTAGTGGTCTAACCATAGTTGAATTGAGATTAACTTGATCATAATTAAAATAATATGATTCAATTAAAATATATAAATATTTTTATATAACCATGATAAGGGCAATATTTAAATAAATAAGATATTAATTTATAAGTAAAGGAAACATTCATGAATAAATTGTACATAATACAACAAAACAGTAACAGAACTACTTAAATACTTAACTACAAAGTTAATAAGTTATTTTTTTTATTCTTTTCAAGTTAAAATAATATGTTATGCTTAATAAAATTATTTTAAAATTAAAATTGAATAAAAAATAAAAAAAATATTTTTAAAAAAGTTTCGGGTATTTAGGCCGGCTCGAATAAGCCCGAAGCCCGAAGGCGTTAGGGCCGAGCTTGGCTATATGAGCTTCTTAAAAAGAGTAGGATCCTTTAAGCCCGATCTAAATTGAGCCCGGTCCGAATAAGTCTGACCCATTCAATGAGCCCGACCCGAATAAGTCTGACCCATTCAAATTACCACCTCTAAGCACTTGGTCGTGACCAGCTTGGCTACAAAAAGAGCTTCAAATTGATCTGATTCTGTAAAGATAAAATGATTCATGATCATATTGTTCTGTGCCATTGGAAGGATCTTATTTGGTTTCGGATACATGACCAGAACAGCCGCCATCAGAAGCGGGAACATTCTGGCGGGGGCCTTATAACGTCCCTTTCTTCCTTCGCATCCTTTGAAACTCGAATTCACATGGGGTCGTTTTTTCTCCCATTTTCCCTAATTTATTTTTGAACAAGCGAGTCGGCTTCTTCTTTACTTCTCGTTGCTCTGCTTGTTCATATATACTTCATCGCTCAGAAGGATTTAACACGGTCCACGAGTTCAAGTGTTGAGTCTCCCACTTTCCCTCTCTGTTTTCCTTATGAATTTTCTCGGGAAAATTCTCAGTGGTTGGTAGGTTGGGAAAAATGATGACGAAATAAAGAAAAATAAAAAGGATAAATCGACTTTTTGGCGGCGAAAAAGGAGAAGAAGAAGATGGCGGAAACGCGGGAATCCGAAGACGGGTCTGGTAGGTAAACAAAACAAAAAGTGGAAAGAGGTCCAAAGACGCACATATATTAATTTTGGGCATGAAATAAAATCGCTGAAACGAGATGGGGTAGGGGCCATTATTGAATGCTCTAACATGCCCTAATAAATAAGGGGTCGTGGGGGTCAGGGGTTGTTACTTGTTTGTTGCTCTCTTTAAGCTTTTACATTAAATGCTGGAGACGTGGGATGAACAGCTACTGCGGTTGACCATTATTAGGGCAATAGGGCTATAGTTCCCACCACTCACTCTTCATTCATATTCTCTCTATTGAAACATACTTCTACGATTCTTTTCTTTATTATTATTATTATTATTTTTTTTTTTTTTTGCTTCCTTTCTTCCTTTCCAATGCTTCATACTCTAAACAAAAGCAAACTCTGGCTTTGTTCTTTGGTAATTCCTTTATGCCTCTGCTTTTGCTTTAGTTTCATCCATTTGAATGTCTCTGGAATACCCTTTCTTTTCCTCTTTCTTTATCTGCTCATTGCAATTTTAAATTATCATTGTTGTTGCAGTATCTTGTCTCTGTCTCTCTTGTCTCTGGGCTCTGTTAGACTCTTCTCTTAAATTGTCTCTACTGCAGGCAGCCTCATCTAGAAGAAAAGGTATTGTGTGAAGCGTATTATAATCTGTTTCTTTCAGTTGATGCATGTAGGCTTTTCCCCTTCCTTTTGTCTTTTTTCTTCCTGTCATTTTATTGGCTATGCCTTTGAAGGTTTTGGGATCTGAGATGGATCTTTCACTTGTCCATGTTTGTTGATTTCCTTCATTCCATCGGTTTGTAGCCTAGCTAGGACTTGCACTTGCTTTTCTGGATGTCTAGGTTTGGTTTTGTGTGTGTGTGTGTGTGTGTGTGTGTGTGTTCGTGTTTTTTATTTTTATTTTTTAATTCCTCTGGTGTGTTAGACCTTATCAGAGCTAAGAAACAACCTAGATTTTCTGTACCAAAAAAAAAATGATAATTTTTTTGTACAGTCAAGTTGTGGGGGCCTCGTGATTTGAACTGTGGTTTTGTAATTTTGGGGTTTTGCAGTTGAAATCTTTATAAAACTCCGATGATTTTAAAACTTTGCTTTGTCTTTTTGTATACATTGATAACTACACTGGGCGGAAAACTTTTACTCCTAATAAAAAAAGGTGACTGGTATTTCGTTTTCGTACTTTATAGACAAATGGACGCCAAAACTGTGTTTTTAAATAAGAAATTATCAAAACTTACTGACATCAATTCTTCCAAGTCAAGTGATTTACTCTAAACCTTATATTCTTGAGGCTATTAGTAAATGTTAATGGCCCTTGATTAAGCTCTTAGTACACTTTATAATTCAGAGATATTAGCAGAAATTTCCTTCAATGTTTGATAAACGGGGATTAGCTGTGTTAGTGACAGATCAGAGTTACCTTCCTCTTAAAATCCAATTCTAAGATCCCTTATGCATATTAGTTATGCTTTTTTTAATTATTATTAGAATATTTTTCAGGATGAGATTATCCTTGTATTATTGACGGGGAACTTTGTTACTGATATTTGGCTTTCACCATTTTTTGTCTACAGAGTTTGCTGCCGCTATTGTTTTCATCACGTGCAGTTAGTACTGTTACCATTAGTTACTTGCTGGTTGCTAAACCTGTTCATGTTTTCTCTTTTCTGATATTCAGGATCCTGCATATATTGGGCACTATCGTATCAGTGTTTGATTGAAAATATGATTGGTTGAATCAAGGAAAATTTTTCAATGTGTTGAAGGAAGTCCACGTGAACCATGAAACTAGGTAATAAACAGCCTACTTCTGATTTCTGCATTCAATTCTGTCACTATCTTTAGCTGCCATATATGTATCTGCTCATTAACTAACTAACTGTTCACCTAAATGTGGCATCGTAAAATCAGTTAGGACTTTATTCTCAACTCTTTATGTTTTATATTGTTTAATCCTCACTATTACTATTTCGTTTTCCAAACTTGAAATCGTGATTTTATATTAACTGACATGAAGATGTACGTGCAGAGGGTGAGCTCGTCTCTTGCCATCCAAATATTTGCCTTGAAACTAAAAATCAGTCCTTTGAATTCAATGATAGTAATCCAAACTCCATCCTATGCAAATCAAGAAGCGAGAAAGTGAAGGAAAATGACGGAAGGATTTCCTTTGATTTAAAGAGTAATGAGGGGAATCCAATTCCAATACAATATGACATGGAGGGGGAGGAAGGTTTGATTGCTTCAAAATTTGTTTGCCCTACAGGCATAGTTGATTTGAAACATAAAGATGAAGCAAAGGCCCAGAACTTTGTTGAACCTGTCTCTCATTCTTCCCAAGATATAGAAGCATCTGATGCAAAAAGGCCCCATGATGTGTGGATCCATGATTCTCCAGAAGAGTCAGATTCATGTGAGAATTGTGAAGATACCTATTCTGATGAATGTGTGGCAGAAAGTCAACCAGAATTGATAGTATGTTACAAAGAAAGTAATTGCCATTTTATTAAGGATATATGTGTTGATGAAGGAGTCCCTGCCATGGATAAGGTCCGGTATGAGAATAGTGTTGATGAAAAGGATGTTTCTAAATTATTGCCTTTTGATCCTTCAAGAACAGAAGTATCAGAGAAAGACAACAGCAAGATTAATGTGCCTTTACCAGATGATCTAGATTTATCAATAACCAAGGAATCTGACAAGGTTCCTGCTAAACATCATCAGTCTGAGGATTTAATTCAGAGGGATGAGAATGATACTGAAAATTTTGCTGATCAGAACAAAGAAATGGTTTTACCTGGTGGCACATTTTTGTTGCAAGAGATAGAACCAGAAGAAGCTAAGCCTTTGCGTGATAAGGGTGATGAAGTTGAACTCAACCATGCGGAGGTATTTTGCATTTTAGCTTCTGTTATGTAAAGATTTTGCTTGAAAATCTTATGTGCCTTTCGAAAAGATTGATTGACTATTTTTTGCATGTTATGTTTGATATTATTATAAAAATGTTAATAGCTTATATTTGAGTTAAAATTGTTGTTGACTTGATGTTAGAGCCTCTATAAGCAGGTAGTCTAAATTTTGATTCTTGTCACTTCCATTTTTGGTTTAAATGAAATTTCAATGCAAAATAGGTGGCCATTGGCCTGTACTTTCACTGTTGAACTTAAATTTACAAGGGCCTTGTGTTTGACTATGAACTTTGAATATTGTGAAGAAACCAAAATACTTATTTGCGTGACTGAAGTATTGAACTACTAATTATGAAGGTTTATGGTTTAAATGACTAGGAAAAAATGTGTTACCTGCTTTATTTGTTAAATGCAAACCACTGCTCTTCCTTCCACGGTTATCATTTCTTCTGTATCAGTCTTTGAACAATAAAATCTTCTGGAGAAGCTTTTATTGAAATATTGAAAATGATTAGCCTAGTTTTGAAGAAGCTTTTCTTGGGATTTATTTGGAACTGCACAGCAAGATATAAATATCATAAATTGATCCCTATGATTGTCATGCAGGTCTGTAGCGAGCCTGAATCACACTCCAAGCATGAAGAATCCAAAAACAGGGCTGGGGAAGCAGTATTGGCTAACCCTGCAGTCAATGAACTGGATAATGATATCCTTGTCAGAGATAGCTACTTTGTTCCTTCAGATTTTGTGGCTTCTTGTAGTAAAAAGGAACGTCACCAAGATGGTAGCTGTAAATGTGATGACTTTCTAAATACAGCTAAGCCTGAAGATGGGAGGTCTATTACAAGTCAAGTTTATCATTGCAATGGCGAGTCAAGTTTCTCGGCTGTAGGTGTATCTAGTCATATATGTTACTCAGGACCTGTACCCTTTTCCGGTAGCATTTCGCTTCGATCAGATAGCAGCACAACTAGCGCGCGTTCCTTTGCCTTTCCCATGTAAATTTCCATAAAACTTCTTGGTTTAATGCCTCTCCATCATTACTAATTCTCTTGAGTGGTTGTTATTGAGTTCTTAAATGAAATCCTAATTTATGGATATCATGTTCTACTTAATATCTGCTTTTCTTGATTTTATTGAAGAACTGCGCTAAAGTTTTCACATATTCTGATTGTAGACTGCAATCTGAATGGAATAGCAGCCCGGTCAGAATGGCGAAAGCTGACAAAAGGCATCACCGGAGGCAGAAGGGTTGGAGGGAGGGCCTTCTTTGCTGTAGATTCTGAACAATTCTTTCTCTCTTTTACAGGTTTAGAATTATGAGATATATATGATATCATTGAATCTCATGTACATCTCCGAGATGTTTATTGACCAGAAAGGTTAGAACGCTGAGTTTGAGCTCCTTTATGCAAGCCAAGCCCTGTCCCTCCCCCCCTTTCCTTCCATCTGTTTTCCTCCTTAGTCTTCAATATATGGTATAATCATTCTCATCTACATTAAAGATTCCAAGTGTAAGTGTATGATAAGTTTAGGTTAGTTCATGTTCCGAAAACTCTCAAAGTAGAAGCGAGCTAGTCAAATCTCTTGAAGTTGCTGTAATAATCTCTGATAAATTCTTTCCATGGCAGAAAGGAGAGGAGCGAATTAATCAACAGTGTATATTAGTAATGTATGAAATGAGACTGAGAGGAAGGGTTTTTGACTTTTTGTACACCGGATTTTTGTTTTTTAAAATTGAATTCTGGCAACTTTTACCCCTTTTATTATGTGAAAAATTTTGACAGCATTGATTCTTTCACATGTTGGTTGTCCTGGAATGAAATAATTCTTGGAGCTATTTGAATTATTTTATTGATTTTTTTGTTTTATTAATCGAGGGGAGTTGCATTTTGAACTTTTTAGGTGATATAATAATGCAGAAGTGAAAGAATTTGAATCTCCATTTAAATAGATGGAATTTGAGGGTGATCTCCTCTATATTCTACTTATACACAATGAACTAGATAGGTGGTTTATGAGGTTTGAGGAGTAAATTATACTATTATTATTTATGAATATTGTAATTTATCAAGAAAAATTGTTCTACTTCCATTCCATATTAATTTGTCGTTTGATGTTAAGGAATGTAAATTAAGAAATTTTTTAGTGAATAAAAAAAATATGATTATATATCAACTAAAATACTCTTATTCAATCCCCTCTTTGAAGAGGGAGTAATAGATAAGATAAATGAGGGAAAAAAGATGAAAAGAGAAAGTAATAAAGAGAGATAAATTGATAATTATTAACTGTGAGTATGGGGGAAAAAAATAATCATGCCTTGAATTTGTGAAAAAAGACAGCTTTCGAAACCTTAAAAAAAAAAAATGTAAAATAACAATTGATATGGCATAGCTGGGGTATTTTCTTATGTGTATTTTCAATTTTGACATTGGAACTTCTTCGTTGCATGTGATATATTAAAATTTGAGTAAATGCCATACAATAGAATAAATTAATTTTATAAAAAATGGAATTACACAAAGCAAAATAGAAGCTTTAATCAAATAATATGAAATGATTAAAATATTGCTATTCCTTGATCCTCTTCTTCTCTAGCAATGACCTTCAAATTTTACTACTCCCAAAGCTTGTCTTGGGACCACGATTTTCTTGGTCTCAATCCCATTGCTTAGTTCATCTTTAATGACAAGTTCTGATGGTTTAAATTAGGTTTACAAGTAAAGCAGAATAGAGCTTATTTGTCCAAGCAGGATTCTCTCTCATGTGCTTTGTGCACAAACAACAAACAATTAAAGATCAAATATCAATTAAAGTAAGAGTCAGTCTGTTTAAGATTAAAAAAGTTATTTTAGTTAAACTTAACATGAAGCAATTATTGGGATAACATTAAGCCGGTTATAGATGTTTTGTTGGGGAAAAAAAATCTATTTTCAACTTATATATATTTAACACATCCGTCATACTTAGCTTAATTTTATTGATAATTCTTTCATGCTCTCACCAACTTTCTCATATTTAGCTTAACTAAAATAACATTTTCAATACTAAACAAACTGGACATAAATTAAACTTTTTAAATTAAATTTTTTTTAATTATGCACATGTATTCTTTTATTAAATCCTTTGCTTAAAATATAGTCAGATATTAAATGTAGTCACATCTCCTTAATAATATTTAAAATCAGGTAAAACAATAGCTGCTACCCCTTGCTGAGACTCAACTAATGAAAGTTCAACCTGGAAAATAAATAATAATAATAATAATAATAATAATAATAATAAATACGTAAAAGTTGGATGAGTGGGGATGCAATCTGATATTGATGAGTTATACAATGCAAGACATGTGCTTAGCTTTGAAATTCACAAGCCTTCCTTTGGATGATGAATTAGTCGGTATGTATGTCCCTTAAATTTGACGTGGATGGAACTAACCAAGGGCTCCTAAGGCCACCTATCATCTCTATTTCATGTCAATTCTCTGTTTCTTCTTCCCACGAACACGAACATAAACTTTGAAAATCAATTCAATGTGGGGGTCCACCAGGGTGGTAATTTCGATGCCTAGCACTACACGGGTATACATGCATACATATATATATATATATATATATATGAGAGAGAGAGAGAGAGAGCAACTGTTAAGGCATGTGAGAAAAGAAAATCAGTTTCCTGTGCCCTTCATGGCTTCCCTAGCTACCCTAGCCCAGAAAGTTCCATTCTCATAGGTCTGATTCTATTTTCAAAAATAGACAACAGTCAAAAAAGGAATTAATTTAACTAGCGAAGAAACGGAAGCCACTTTTAATTGATGCAATCTAAATCCTAGTACACATAATCTTTAGTTTAATGTTTTGTAATTGACAAGTGTTCACCAATTAGGGTTACATTGTGCTGTAAACCAAGAACAAGCCATTTATTTATTTATTTAAAAAGTTAAAGGAAGTTGTTGAAAGTGGCTTTACACAATCACACCTAATTGATTGTTGTCCCTTCAATTGACTTCAGATCGTTGAAGCAGGGAGCTAGAGGAAACTGAACTGACTATCTCAATAATATTAGAAAAGATATGAAGAAGCAAATGATGAATAGAAAGTATCAAATATGATCATTCTTCACCGAGCAAATGGTTGATGAAGATGTAAGCTTGGTTATATGCAACGGAAAGTCAGAAAGTGAGGTTCCTACATCAGCATTAGGTGACAAAATCAACCCAAATTGTGTGAAGCCTCCTAAAAAGTGAGCAAATCAATATTATATTTGAGATTTTCATGAACCTGTTTTGGAACTCTCCATTGTTGTGCTTTGAGTTTCCTCTCTCTCTCTCTCTCTCTATATATATATATATATTTATCTCTGCCATCATATGAGGTTGTATAAGCAAAACCCAACAGCTGAAGAAACTCCATTGTGCATAAGTAAAGTTAGTCAGATGGAGCTGGTAATGACCATCATTGTGCTAAGCATTTTCTTCTCTGGTTTGCTTCCACACTGTTCTGGTTCTCTGCAACTTCCGTTAATGAAACCTCCTCTTCAATATCAAGGTAACTAAAACTAACTTTATATTCTCCCTTTTGTCCTCTCTTTCTTTATGATTCTTGAAGTGATCAGGTTGTGCGCTTTTATATTTGGTTTTCATTTGAGCAGTAAATTCACACTACCTCTCTCTCCCACAAATATTCCCAAGGAAGCTTATGAACACTGAACGACAGGTACTGCAGAAATCAGCAGCAGATCATCAGTCAATCTAATTCTCGTCATCTCTTTCAATCATCTATATACGTGTCATTCACTCTTGTATTTTCCTGGAAAATATAGATTAAAGAACATGATGAAGAATCTACACATGGTGCGTCGAAACAGAATGACAAAGAAAACCTTTCAGGTAAGCATCAAGAAAACTTCTCTCCTTCATGCTATCTTATCCCATATCTGTATCAAATCCCTTTTCTTGAATCCTGTATCTTCCATAATAATTAATAACCTCATGTATTCATACACATTGCATGAATTAGGTCCAATCTATCAAATAATCAATAAATAAACATGTGGCATACTGAAACATGTCAGAAACCAGGAGATCCTTAGCACAACTGGTATACATTAATAGACAGTGCATTAGATTAAAATACTACCCCATTAAACAACAGCAGCATCCATAGATTTTTTAACTGATTAATCAGTGAAATATGAAGCCATGACCTGTGAAACATTTTGCAGGGAAGGAACAAGAAAAAGAGCAGAAGATGAAGGTGGTAAGGAAGAAGAAGAAGAAGAACAAGGGGACAAGGCAAGAATGGGTGGAAGGGGAGGACCCTTCACAGTACATGACAATGGATTATAGCAGAGTGAGAAGAAGACGACCAATACACAACAAGAACATACCTGTAGCTCCGTGAAACATGGGAGCTATTGACCATTTTAGATTTTGCACTATACCCCCCAAAACTAAATCAACTAGCTAGTTCTTTTCTTGTTTTGGACACACAGTTTTGTATTGGCCCCTGAATTTGCGTGTCTTGTAATTAGGTACCTTGTGCTACGAGTTATATGTAGTCTCTGTCCTCATCCTCTATTGTGTTGTGGCCGACACAAGGAGGGACCAGAAACCCTAAAGTTTAGGTCACTCTGTAACCATTTTCCCCTTGATTTTATTTTATTTTTTTGTCTCTATGTTTAATTATCCCTTATTATTTGCATTTCTGATGGACATGTATGTAATTTATGTATATCTTATCTTGTTTGGAGCATATAATCTTATTAATTTGTATGTGTTTTTTCCCCTTTTGCAAGAACATGCATACAAGTAATCATATATATATATATATATATTATAGTCTTAGTAGTTTTTGCACATGGCCAACTTTATGTTGTAGTTTCCAAAGTTAGTAGCATGGATGGTTTGAAAATTCTAATCTATGACTAAGACAATATCCCAGAATCAATGACAACAAATGTGATTTACATGATTTACGGTAAAGTCTTTTAAAGAATATAGGAGGAAATCAATTTTCATCATTTTATTTTCATCATTTTAATATAGGTAAATTTTAGCTAACATCTATCGTTTAAGAAAGTTAATTAATTTTAATAATTATGTTTGAAATTGAAAATTTTAGACTAAAATGTCCTGATGATCAATCCTTTGTTTTCTCTTAATTTAATAATGCTATCATTTAATGAGGAGCATCAATTGAGGAAAGATATTATAAATGTGTCTTGAAAATTATTATTTTGCCTATAAAAAACAAAAAAAAATTCATATAAATGTTTTGCTTATATTTAAAACGAAGGGAGTATTTGAAATAAGCATTATTACATGGCTAACTTCCTCTAACTCACATTTGTAGAAGGGTGTCAATTTTCTAGCTCACTTTTTCCTTTTTAATCACCATTCAGTCTTTATTAGCAAACTTAATACACAAAATATCCGTCAAACCTGCACGCATGGGGTTAATTACTAGTTGCATTAAATATATTGTCGCTGCTGAATAAAATGAGCTTACTAATTGCACATATGTATTTAATTATTGCTTTCTTGGGTTACTAGACAATTTCAATATTAAATTATAAGTTTAGAAGCGTACGAGAATTTAAATTTATTTTTGGCATAATATTTCATTTTAACTTTTGAAAATGATAGAATGTCACTTCTATCATTAACAAAAATTTACTTAATTATTAGTTAACTAGAAATTATAGAAAAAGGATAAGAAAATTATAGAAAAGGATTCAAAAAAAAATTAAATAAAATTTCTTGTCAACTAATAGTTAAAGTTAATTTTTATTAATGATATGAGAGACAATGCATCATTTTAAAAGTTAAAGGAAAATATTATATAAAAAATAAGTTTAAAATCTCAGACATTTCTAAATTTATAGTTTAGGATAAATTTATAATTTAATCCTTGGTTCATTAACATGCACCTAAAATTCACGTGTATGTGTAATTACAAAAGAAAAATCTCAATTATGCAAAAGATATTAGTGGTTTGGTCAGGGTATAACTCTCAAGTTTTCATTTTGTTTAACTATTAAAGAGTCCCTTCTTTTAGTAAAAGAAGATATTTTTGCTGCAGTATTGATCACGTTAAAAAATACTACAAGATATTTGAGTTTTTTAATGTGTAATTAATTAAGTTTTTCAAAAGTACTCTTAATTAAAAGTGTAATTAATTGGATTTTCAGACACTCTGTTTAATAAGTGTAAATATAAAAATTGTGCAATTTTAAATGTCATTAATTAACTTATTAAAGAGCATAAATTAATTAAAATTAAAATATCTCATAATTCTAAACAGATCTATAAATTTAGAATCTCAATCTCTCTCATATTTTTTTTAAAAAAAAACTTGATTATATAGTACTAATAAATACTTACTGGTATATATCCTGCGGTCATATTTTGATTTAAAAAAGATAAGAATTTGAAACTGCCAAACAGAGGTTGGATTTAGTCAAAATTTTATGACAATAATTAACTTTATAGTCTTTTTTTTTTTTTTTGCGTGGTGTTTTTGTTGGTGGTGTTGGGGTAGGAAGCACATAGTAAACATGGCGTGGAAAAGTCAAAATTTGGAACTGAATAATGGGTGGATCACTGGAACCTTCGGATTAGGTGTTAGATTTAGTAAACAAATCGATTTCTAAATGAACGCATAATCCCATTTTTTTAAAAACAAAATGTCTAAAAAATTCCTCATCGGTAAATTCATTATTATTAGTCACCAGGAATCTATGGAATATCAAGGTGCTTCGATATCAATATTTGAGATGGCAAATGACTTAAATGCTCCCAATGAAACAAAAATGACTATGGTCCTTTAGTGTCAAATATTTGGGGTCTTTCGGCGTCAATATTTGGAAACCTTAAAAGATCAAGGTCTTTTAATGTTAATATTTGGGAATGTTAAATTATTTTATGGAAGAGAACGCGCACCAATGGAAGATATTTTGTATATGACAAAAGTTATTTTTATATCATGGAAGATGTATTGTACCTGATAATAAAAGTCACCTTGTGACAGAGTTTTGCACTTAATGGGAGAATATTGCATTCCACCGATAATATATTTGCATGTAACGAAAGAAAATTACATTTGTGAAAGATTTATTTATACTCATGAAATATAACCATCATGACAATATCTTATGTCTAAGGGTAGCTTCTTTGCATATATGGAAGAAATTTACATATATATGGGAAGGTATTGCATATGATGAGAGAACATTTTTATTACATCGATTATATATATTTGAATATATCTTCAATTTATGAAAACATAACTGAATATTGTAAAAATTTTCTTTTTTTTTCTTTTCATGATAATATTTATGGATGTTTGAATATATTTTCAATTTTCATGAAAAATACAACAGAATATTCTAAAAATTGTACATCCCAACAAGATTAAGCATAGACATTTTCGTAATCTAACTATCATTGCTCATTCTTTTAAAAGGACTTAAGTACTTTTAGGAACTTTAGAGCAAGGTAAATTCAGTAGTCATTTTTATCAAGATATTGAAAATTAAAATGGTCATTGAACCTAGTCAAGGTACAGTTCAAGGTTAATAGTTAAAAACTATAGTCAAACTATGATTAAACTAATTATTATCTTATTAAATTAGTTAAGATATTAATTTATCAATCTACTAGCTCAACTGAATAGATTGACCCTAAATTTTATAGCCGGATTCTTCTTAACCATTTATGGCACCCCTTCCCTCCCTTGTTAGGCGAGGATACCATTCAAGGGATCCTTAATTTTACTTTTTTTCTGGGATGAAAACTAAACTCATTCATATAATAAAAAAAAAAACAAGAACAAGCCAGCAAACTCTTAAGGAGAGCCAAATCAATCATCATCAACCCCCCCTTGGGACAACTAAGATAGTGGATGATCAAAAATATGAAAAAAAGCCCTCAATAAAATGAGTTTTCCTAACCAGGTGGTGAGCAATGTTAATCACATTTACGAACAAAGCTAATAATAACAATCTAGTTCCTGTGAAATTAAATTAATTTTTACTTTTTATTTGAAATGTACTTACTATGTGACTCACGTCTATTTATACTTGAGATGTTGTTTGTTAAATACTTCAATTACTATGAACTATAATTTTTTTGCATGTTAATTATTATAACTTATAAGTTATTGTTATAATTTTTATTTATATATAATATAAAAAAATCATATTATTATTCAAGATTTAGAAAGAGCCCAGTTTAACATGATGTAATAAAAGTTCAATTTTTAGGCCATCTAGCCTTCACACATACTCTTGCTGTGCTGTGAAAACTGAATTGAATTGGCTAGTTGATTTGGAACTGGTCTAATGTCTAGCCTAGAAAATCAAAATGGTTAGAGAATTGGTTGAATTGCTTTGAATTGGTTAAAACCAATTGCACCGGTTAAACTAGGCACATATTTTTTCATACTTTTATATATATATATATATATTAAATCTACGTTTCTAAGTTACAATTTACACATATTTAAT